TAATGAGAAAATAGGATTGAGCATGTTAAAAAAGAGCTTTTCAGGACATCACACTTTTACTATCACGTGATCTAAACTTGAATATGTTTTTTGTTTGTTTTAAAATAGAGTGTCTCTGTTACCAGGCTGCAGTGTCATGGTGCAGTCATGGTTCATGGTACCCTTGACCTCCTGGGGCCGGACTGTCTTCCTTCTGCATAGCTGGGACCACAGTGGTGCCTGGCTAATTTTCTGTATTTTTTTTTTTTTTTCCCCCACCATAGAGACATGGTTTTGCCATGTTACCCAGGCTGGTCTCAGACTCCTGGAATCAAGGACTCAACTCACCTCAGCCTCCCAAACTACTGGGACTACAGGCATGAGCCACCATTGCTAGTCTGCTTGAATATGAGTCTTGAATGATACTTCTTTTTGAGGGTTGTTCTCTACAAGTCTGTCAGGAATTGAGTTGTTGGTGGTAGATTTCCAAAAAGATCAATTTTTTAAAAGCTGGAAATGACAAGAGGTAGTTCTAACCTCATTTACTGAGGAAACCTCTCAGAGGAAATGATTAGCCAGAGAAGGGTTTGTTTACAGAGGTGCTGTGCCCATTAAGCATGGTGAGGGCTGCTTTCTCAGTGGTGAGTCATGTGATGTGGATTAACCCCAAACCAAATGCTCAGCTTACGTGGTTAGATTGGGTGGTTTATTCGTAGCCATAGTATGCACCTGTGGAATATAGGTTAGCTACTTTGTTACCTGCTTTGGCTGTAATTAGTTAATTATACATTTTGTAGCTTATAGGTAAGCTTAAGCAGTCTGTGAAAACAGACTGGAAATATTCATCATGGACTCTGTCAATTTTTTTTTTTTTTTGAGACAGAGTCTTGCTGTCTCCAGGCTGGAGTGCAGTGGCACAATCTTGGCTCACTGCAACCTCTGCTTCCTGGGTTCAAGTAATTCCCCTGCCGTAGCCTCCTGAAGAGCTGGGACAATAGGCGTGTACCACCATGCCCAGCTAATTTTTTATATTTTTGTCGAGATGGGGTTTTACCATGTTGGCCAGGCTGGTCTCATACTCCTGACCTCGTGATCCACACAGGTTGGCCTTCCAAAGTGCTGTGTTATAGGTGTGAGCCAGTGCGCCTGGCCCAGAATGTTTTTTATTGTAAATCTTAAAGTATTTGGGACTTCAAAGTAACAATATTAAAATTCATTTCCATCTGTGAATCCTGTAGTGGACCACAATGTGTAGATTGTGTTACATTTTATGAGTTTTTCTAACACTTTCGTCATCATTTTCCAGGAAAGAGTAGGAGATGCATTGGCAGATGTATTCTGTTTGGTGGACTTTGGTGAAAGACTTTCTTTTGGAGTAGACAAGTGGCCTGGGTAACAGTCGTAAGTCTCCTGTGAAATCTGCTTTGTGGTGTGAAACCAGTCTTGTGGACTCAGGTAGATTACGTTCTAGGCATCTAGGGATTGGAGTGGCCATAACATCACCTTATCAGCCAGCCTGTGGAAAAGGAAGCCTATCGATTGGTATTGGTATAGTTGAGATCACAGAGGAACCTGCTTTCCTTAGTTTTATTTTTTATTTTTTGAGACAGAGTTTCACTCTTGTTGCCCAGGTTGGAGTGCAATGGTGCAATCTCGGCTCACCGCATCCTCCGCCTCCCAGGCTCAAGCGATTCTTCTGCCTCAGCCTCCTGAGTAGCTGAGATTATAGGCATGCACCACCACGCCTGGCTAATTTTTTGTATTTTTAGTAGAAATGGGGTTTCACCGTGTTGGCCAGGCTGATCTTGAACCCCTGACCTCATGATCCGCCTGCCTCAGCCTTCCAAAGTGCAGGGATTACAGACTTCAGCCACCACGCCCAGCCTTTCCTTGGTTTATTACCTTGTGTTGAGTTGGGTGTAGCTCATACCAGTGATACCCTTGCTGGGATACCCCTTGGCACTCTTGTGTTTGGGGGCTACAAAAAGTTAGTGACTTCAAAATTTTTCCAAGTAAATACATTGTTATTTACTTTTGAGACAGGGCTCTGTCTACCAGGCTGGAGTGCAGTGGTGCAATCATAGCTCACTGTAACTTTGAACTCCTGGACTTGAGCCATCCTCCCACTGCAGGTGCACGACACCATGCTCAGCTAGTTATTGTTTTTTAAAATAAAAACAGGGTCTTAGGCCGGGCGTGGTGGCTCATGCCTGTAATCCAAGTACTTTGGAGGCCAAGGCAGGCAGATCACCTGAGGTCGGGAGTTCAAGACCAGCCTGACCAACATGGTGAAACCCTGTCTTTAAAAAAAAAAAAAAAAAAAAAAAAAAACAAAACAGGGTCTTAATGTGTCAAACTCCTAGGCCAAGTGACTCCCGACCTCATGATCCACCAGCCTCGGCCTCCCAGAATGCTGAGATTATAGGCATGAGCCACCACACCTGGCCTCAAGTAAATACTTTTTTTTTTTTTTGAGACAGAGTCTCATTCTGTCACCCAGCCAGAGTACAATGGCACAACCTCTGTTCACTGCAGCCTCCGTCCCCTGGGTTCAAGCAGTTCTTCTGCCTCAGCCTCCTGAGTAGCTGGGATTACAGGCACATGCCACCACCGCTAGCTGATTTTTGCATTTTTAGTAGAGATGGGGTTTTACCATATTGGCCAGGCTGGTCCTGAACTCCCGACCTTGATGATCTGCCCTCCGTGGCCTCCCAAAGTGCTGTGATTACAGGTGGGAGCCACTGCGCCCAGACTCAAATAAATACACTTTTAAAAACTCCTCCAGCTACTACCTGGTATGTAGGCACTACCTTTCTTTTACAAAAGAAAGTTACATCCCAGAATAAAAATTAGCCATTTAGTTAAAGATACTTTTATAAATCATGAGTACCGTAGTCTTGGCTTTTTGTTTCTTTTTTTCCAGTTTTGTCATGGATCACAAACTGTGTAGTAGAGCCTGTGGTCTGGGAGTCACTGGATTCTCACTGGCGGAACACATAGGTCTCAGGAAGCATAAAGTACAAGGCTCAGTTGCTTGTGAAACTTGGGGTAGCTTCTGGCTTCTCACTTATTCCTAGTCAGCTCTCATCCGTGCCTCCCTGTAGTCAGAGGGGGTGCACTTGAGCTGGCAGCTGAGGGAAGAGCCCTGTCAGCCAGTGCACAGGCCTCCAAGCCTGATGGCTGCTGCCTAAAGATGGCTGGTATCACATTGTGGTGGCACCTAACACACAAAGGTAGAGTATGACTGGGAAGGCCATGCTGGAAAAACAGCCACCCTTCTTTGCCAAAGGTGGGATTGTTTGCTTGCTGTCTTCCACCTTTCAGGGTTGCTCAGACTTGAGTTGCCCAGCTTCTAAGTAGTACGGTTGTATAGCAATAGTTTCTTTGTCACCTTTTTGGATTTTTAAAAAGTGGTTAAAATAGGGCCGGGCGTGGTGGCTCACGCCTGTAATCCCAGCACTTTGGGAGGCCGAGGCGGGTGGATCACAAGGTCGAGAGATCGAGACCATCCTGGTCAACATGGTGAAATCCCGTCTCTACTAAAAATACAAAAAATTAGCTGGGCATGGTGGCGCGTGCCTGTAATCCCAGCTACTCAGGAGGCTGAGGCAGGAGAATTGCCTGAACCCAGGAGGCGGAGGTTGCGCCATTGCACTCCAGCCTGGGTAACAAGAGCGAAACTCCGACTCAAAAAAAAAAAAAGTGGTTAAAATATACATAAAATAGACCGTTTTAAAGCTTAAGTGTACAGTTGAAGTATGGTGTTTTGCAACAATCACCTCTGCCCATTCCTAGAATTTTTATTCTCATCCCAAATGAAATTCTGTGCTCAGTGTTTAATAACTTCCCATTTCCACCTCCCCCTAGGTCCTGGTAACCTCTGTTCTACTTTCTGTGTATGGATTTGCTTATTATAGGTATTTAATAAGTGGAATCATGATATTTGGCCTCCAGTGATGGACTTATTTCACTGAGCATAGTGTCCCCAAGGTTTGTGCATGTTGTAGCCTGTGTCAGGATTTCCTTCCTTTTTGTGTTGAATAATATCCCATTGCATGGATATTCCATGTTTTCGTTTATTCTATTCATCTATTGGTGGATACTTGGGTTGTTTCTTCCTTTAGGTTTGTATGAATAATGCTTCTGTGAGCATTGGCATACGTGTATGAGTCTCTGCTTCTAATTCTTTTGGGTATATATACCTAGCAGTGGATTTTCTGGGTCATATAGTAATTCTGTGTTTAATTTTGAGTGACCCTGCTTCCCATGGCGGCTGCATCATTTTATGGCTCCTTTCCCCTTTTTTTTTTTTTTTTTTTTTTTATAATAACACTGTGAAAGACAGTTATTTGTCAAGCTAAAATTGGTGGGACCTATATGCACTACCTCGTATTTCTATTCCATGAAGTCTTGGAAATCATCTTTCTCTTTTCCTGTTTCTGTCTTGGAATTAACACACCTTGGTCGGGAGTTGGCCCCCCATTGTCTCTGTTACTGTCCATAGGAGTATTTGTAAGTGCAGGAAAGTGTACCTTTCCTTGGGAAGACTTTCTGCCCTGTGACGCAGTTTACTTTGAATGTCTTAATTTCAAAACCAACATTACTCTTGTCTTTGCTTTTTTGAGACGGTCTCCCTCTGTCACCCCGGGCTGGAGTGCAGTAGGGTGATCATAGTTCACTGCAGCCTAGAACTCCTGAGTTTAAGTGATCCTCCCACCTTGCCCTCCCTGCTAGCTGGGACTACAAGTGCGTCACCACACCTGACTAAGTTTTATTTTGTTTTTGTAGAGACCAGGTATTGATATGTTGCCTGGGCTAGTCTTGAACTCTTGGCCTCAAACGATCCCCCCTTTTTGGCTTCCCAAAGTGCTAGGGTTACAGGTCTGAACCACCGCATCTGAACAGTAGCAGTCTTGTGTCATATGTAACTTTATGTGGAATTGTAAACCTGGCAAATGAAATAATTATCTTTCATATTGTGCTGACATATAAACTCTTTTTTTTCCCTCTCTTGAATTTAGTGAAGGAGAACGACCTGCTCAGAATGAGAAGAGGAAGGAGAAAAACATAAAGAGAGGAGGCAATCGCTTTGAGCCATATGCCAATCCAACTAAAAGATACAGAGCCTTCATTACAAACATACCTTTTGATGTGAAGTGGCAGTCACTTAAAGACCTGGTTAAAGAAAAAGGTAATGGTACTGGTGGTTGAATAGGGTAAGAAGGTTGGTGTGTCATCTTTTCTGTGGCTAATTCCTTGGTTATTTTTAGTCAGTGAAACTGGCTCTGGGTAGAGCATGTTCTTTCCAGGCTTAAGAGTGAAGCCCCCTTACCTCACCCCAGTTTTTTTTGTTGTTTTTTGTTGTTGTTTTTTTCTTTTTTTGTGGTCATTCCCCTGTGTGTCAAACCGGATGGTTTGTATGGTCCTTTGGCCTACAGATTATTTTACTGGCTTAGTATGGTTAATAGGGCTTGAATTAGGCTTCAGGGGATCCTTTTTCTGTTGAAATTTTTTGAATTTTGCACGTTAGGTGGGAGAGGTTTTTCTTTTCTTTTTTCTTTTTTTTCCTTTTTTTTTAAGCTTTTTAAGTTTCACAGGAAGATAGCTTGTTTAAAATTTTATGGGTGTCTTCCTGGGATCAAAATTTGGTAGCTGGACCTTATCCTTCTCAGATTCCAAACTATAAAATGTTATCTTCTATTTTAACTGTTAGGGTTTTTCCCCTCTGGGGAAAAAATAGAGTAGAGCTCAAAATAAGGTATCTGCTTTGTAATGCGGTGCCTTAGCATGTGCATTGTCATAGCTTAGATGACACTTTCCAGTGGGGAGGCAGGGGAAGCAACCAAGCTCTGCTGCCACCAGGAGGCCTGTCTCTGGTCCTCACCCTCGTGCACACTGCAGTATCCTCTTTCTCTATCCTCTTTCCCTCCTGTGCTGCTGTTGTCTTCCTTTCTTTCCTGATTTCTTGGCCCTGCTGGTGGCATTTAGGACTAAAGAGGCTGCTTAACCCTGGTTTAGACAACACTGTGGTAGAGAACAATTTGTATATTGCCTTGAGGCACCCCCAACCACCCACCCTGTCCTAGACTCATACTACCCTTCATGGAATCTTTGCATGACTGAAAGGTATTGGTTTTCTGGAGCATTCATTATGAAAAGAGATGTGAGCTTGATTTGTCAAATGATTTAACATTTCAGTGACAGAGATGCCCCATGGATAGGCCATTTTGGTATGTGTACTGGTGCTCCCTGCATTGGGTTTGGAAATTATGAATGGCACTGCCATCATTGTCCCATCACTTGTTTTGACCATGACATGCAAGAAGCACTAGGCACTGTGAAACTCTCCGTACAGTAACGCGTGCTGCTCCCACGTGGTATTTCTCCAGATAACACAGATGGAAAAACGTTTTGGTGTGCGATTGATGTTCCTGCCTTGATCAGCCAAATCATTCCTGCCAATGCTCCTAGGGCAAGAGTGAAGTTTCTTCTTTTTGTCTGAAGGGCGTGTCATGCTGCATCCCAGATGCAGTGTTCTTGGTTTTTGGGACTGCTGCTTCAATATAAGCTTAGAATTTCTGTACAGTACAGTTGGGCCTCATTCGAATTAGCTTTTGGAATAACCTCCAAATTTGTGTTCTCGTGATTTGGTTGAACTGCTGAATTGCTATTTCCATTGATAATAAGGTATAGTAGTTCCAAGAACCAGGAATGTGGCTTTGAAAATGCAATTGTTAGAATTTTGTAAGAGATTGCAGGCCAAATTATTTTTTCATTTTTAGGAGTGTGTGAACCAGTTTTGGGACATGATGGATAAAGTAGGTGACACTTTTACTGCTTTACCATTCAGTAATTCGGTTTGGGAAACCTTAAAGCTGGTAGCAGCAGCAGCCATGGTGTTTCTGGATGTAGAAGCAGTTCACCTTAATTCACTATTTTGCACCCTTAAGTGTGGAGCCAGCCTGGTGGTTGATTCGGATACTTCCAAACTGGTTCTCATATTCCCCTGGCATACTGCTATGAATGCCTGGGCTCAGCCCTCTCAGTGTATTTTTGGTGGTGTAATTCAGAATTACAGGTGTGCAGTAAATCAGTTATTTTTAATGAGCCTTAAAATGTTCTTGTTTAGAGCTCCCCTGTACTGGCTAAATTAATTACTTTGCTGTTAAAATTATTAGCAGTATAGGATTGTGGGTAAAGTGACTCAGAAGAGAAAGGTAATCTTTTTATGGTAATGCTTATATTCAGTATGCGAAGTCTAAAGAAGTTTACTGTTTACATACACATGACTCCTTAAGAAATACTCTTTTTATTATGTGTTTTTAAAGGTACATTTTTTATTCCTGTTTTGGCATACAAAAAATGTTTAAGTGGTTAGTTTAAATCTGAAATATTTATTTGAAATCTGTTGCCAATAAGCTTTAAGTTTTTTGAAGATTTAATACACAGGAAGAACTGGCAGATTGAGGCACTCACAACCCTAAAAGTATTAGTCTCAAAATAATTCCAAACCACAGAGATTTGGGCCGTCATAATCTAAGCAGTCTATCACTGTGTTTTAAGGTCTGATGAATCTTGGCCTTGTTTCAGGACATGAGTAGAACAAGAACAAGAGTTAGTTGTTGAAATTTTCTGTCATTGTAGCACTATCTAATTGTAGCTTCTCAGAACTAAAGTAGCTAGCTTTGAGAGAGCAAGAGGGGGGCTTTTTTCCTAAGGATACTCCCGGGGGAGATTGTCTCACATGCGCCTCCCTCACTCTTGATCCTCTTCCCCCATCTTTCATACCAGCTACATATTCTCCAGCTCTAATTTTGGCATTTAGCAGCATCTAGAATCTCCTGTTGATAATCCACATAGGAAGTGAACTGGTCATTCATGCCTTTGAAAGTGACTTAACAGTCCACACTTCCCCAGTTTGTATCCTGACAGGTAAAGGGTTACACATCTTAAAGTTATTGACCATAAGTACTGGGTAGGAAATACAAAGATTTCTGTGAGCAAAAGGCGATCTTAGGCTTTTAAACTCAGTGTTGTGCTACATGTGTTTGAGACCATCAAGTCCTGTGTGGAAAGAGGAAGCTCCTTGCTGGGCTGCTTCTCCTGGCCTCACCAGGCAGCCGGCAGCACCCAGATGGGGCAGCGCCACCGGAGCAGAACTGAGCTGCACCTGCAGTGAGTAAACAGAGCCTGGGTTGAGAAAGAAAGGAAGGTTGGGGATGTAGTTTGCCCTCAGTCAATCCCAAGTTTAGCAGCAGTCAGTTTAACTTGTGTAAGCAAAGATTTCTTTAAGCAGTTAATCCTTCTGTTAGTATTTAATGCTCCACTTTAAGTAAATTTCAAATTGCAGCTGACAGAAAACTAAGGCCCAGAGGGCAAGTGTAGTCCAATAGAAAGCCTCCCATCTTGGTTCCCAGCGTTGTGGCAGAAATGTATTGTATTAGGCAGAAATGTATTTTCAATTTAAATAAAATTCTTGCCCAGTCTGTTCATGTTCCTCCATATTTTTCTTGGTTGGAAATGCAGCCTGTATTTCATTTTATTTTATTTTTTTGAGATGGAGTCTCAATCTTTTACTGAGGCTTGAATGAAGTGGCGTGATCTTGACTCACTGCAAGCTCCGCCTCCAGGGTTCAAGCAATTCTCCTGCCTCAGCTTCCCAAATAGCTGGGATTATAGGTGCCCACCACCACACCCAGCTAGTTTTTGTATGTTTAATAGAGACGGAGTTTCTCCATGTTAGCCAGGCTGGTCTGGAACTCCTGACCTCAGGTGATCCACCCTCCTTGGCATCCCAAAGTGCTAGGATTACAGGCGTGAGCCACCACGCCTGGCCACGGCCTGCACTTTAGAAAGGCCTGTTATGCTAAAGTGTTCATGTTTGTGAATAGTTGAGCCCCAGCATTGCAGCCTGTCTGGTTTACTATGTGTTCTTTGGTGTTAGGGAAGCAATACCGTTCTGCTATTGCCATGCAATTAAGGAGGAGTGTGGGCTCAGTCATTTCCTAACTTGTCCATAAGCCAAGTAGTTGTGTAGAATAAATATTTTGCCATGTTTCAAGATGTCTTTATATTAAAGAGTATGCATGTGTTCTGTGCACCCCCCTACCCCAATAGAGTGGCTACCTAAGAATAGATCATTATGAGGTGAAGAATGTTTGACAACATGCCTGACTTTCAAGCCACCTCACCCCTGCGAAAAAAAATTCTAGGCTTTATCACATATGAATTCTCTTCAGTGAAGCTTTAGCCTCTGTATTCCCTCTATGTTTTTTTTTTTTTTCCCCCATTTCAGACTTAGGCAGTAAATGGGAACACAAAAACAAATACTTATTTTGATAAATGTTTGTGCAGGGAGAGTGAGATCACAGTAGCTCCAAGGGACACCTGAGTTATTTTTGGTTTGCGCATCTTATCCTTCTGATGTGTTTTAAGAATAAGGCAATCTTTTTAATAATTCACTTAAATGTTGGTCAAAAATGGTGTCTTAGAGCATTTTAAATAGAAGTAAGATAACATTTGGTGTTAGATTTTTTAATGTCTTAGTTTTTTCATTTCGATGTTTCGATTTTTAAGTGCAGTAGAATTTGTCTTAGCAACCTACTCTTGGGATTCCGTGAATTACATCCATGTTTACCCAGGGAGAGGAGCAACCGTATTTTTTATTAATATCTGCGAGTGCCGTTTCTGTAAGACCGCTGCTACTGCCAAGCTGTCACCTCTGCCCCTGAGTCCTGACTGTGTGATCTGCTTTGGATGGTTTGTTCATTAAACTTCGTGGAATGTGACCAGACTGCGGTTACTTGTCAAAATTTGCCCTCACATTCTTGTCAATAGTTGTGCTGACTATATGAAACAAATCTTTGCTTTGTTTATTGTAGAACCAAAAGGGAGGTGGTCTTTTAAAGGCTTCATCTTCCTATAGGAAACTATGAATTAGCAGCTGTTATACAGATCCCTTAACACTGAATTGATGGTCTGTCAGGGTAGAGGTTGGAATTTTATGAGTTTGTGAGGAGCGTGGTCATTACTGATGATCTCGGGGACAGCATTACTCATCCTGGACCCTCAGGTGACTGCTAAACAATGATACCATTTAGGGGAAAAAGATGGAGAAGGTTTTAAGCAAATTTTTAGTACAAAGGATTGAAGTTAGGTGTGCCATTACTAGACTATACTGTTACATGGAAAAAGTCCTAATTTCTAAACCTCTCTTTTTGTTAAAGTGGTTATAGCCATGGAAAAAAAGTTTGGTTTGGACTTGCTTGGTTTCTAGGTTGCAATGACAGCTTTTTGATCAAGTGTCTTTATGGACACAGACCAGAAACTTCAAATGTAACAGGATTTGAATTTGGACAACATGGTTGCAGCTATCTTGAATTAGTTATTGTGAGTCTTTTATTTTTTTAAAGGTTATTAGGTGGTAGTCATAGCTGGTAGGAAGTAAACTTGGGGCCTTTTCATTCACTGTTTTGACACTGTGGCATTTTCATCAAAGTGGAGACAAGGGTTGGTGGTCCTTGAATGGCTGCTGCTTTTGAAACAAATGGCTTTTAACGTGGTCTCAGGGCTGCTGCATTTTTTGCTTTGCTTTTTAAAGGTTAAGTAAAGTCACTCCGTACAACTGTCCCTTGGCTGCAGTCATTTTTCAGTTTACCCCACAGGAGTACATACTCCAAAAGTTAAGTTAAACCGATCCCTCCTATTTTCATTCTTCATTTCTTTGCACTAATTATTCTTTGTCCTTCCTGTTTTGTACAAAGTGCTAGTTTGGTTCTGAAACATTTCAGGAGAGGACAAAGAAGGTGAGGCTCTAGATTTAAACACTTGGCTTTCTTGCCTCACTGAGTGTGTAGAGCCATTAATACGTCCTTCAGGTTTTTAAATTTTTTGTAAAATAATTTTATCTTGTTTTTTATTAAAAATTTTCCTTCCTATAGCCTCATAATTTTAATGTCCTTTCAACAAAAGAGTTGGAATAGGCAGGACTTGTCAAGGTCATTAGGTGGGTTATTTTTATCCTTTTTCTGCTAAACCAAACTGATCCAGAGAACAACAAAAGCCCATGATTTGACTTTGGAGAGTCTGGTTAGAGATTGTTTTCTCCAGGTTAACACTTGACATTTGTTTTGTGTGTGCCATCTTCAAGTTCAGCAGCCATTTTGGTGGTTGTCTTTATGGAGTCTAACATCTGGTCATGGTGGTCATGAATTGGCAATCCAAACCTTGAGGAAAAGCTGCAGAAACTTTTCAAATGCTTTGGTTTTTTTTCCCTTTTGTGTAGATTAGAATCATGTGAGTCTGTTTAACTCTTTAGATATAAAATCTGAGTCCTAAATTTGAATTTATTTGTGTCCTTTAATGGGGAGGTTTAGAAAGCAGCAAGAATGAAGCCTGGCTTAATTCACTGAAGAGAATCCAGATGCTGCTGTGGTTTTGTGATCTTACTATATTCAAACATTCTGCCTCTACAGCTGTGGAGCCTAGTGCTGTGTGCAGGACCAGCTATAGAATTTGTGGGGCCCAACACAAAACCAAAACAAGGGGCCTCTTGTTAAAAGATTAAGAATGTCATGGCAGCATTAACAGCATTAAACCAAGCTGAGGCCCCCGAGTGCGGGGCTGTGGACGACTGCACGGGTTGCTCACCTGTGAAGCTGGCCCCCCGGCCATGTGTGCCTGTGAGCTTATACCTTTGCATACATGTGTCCTTGTATTTATACCATGTGAGCTCAGCACGATGGCATCGTAATTTGTATGCATTTCACCTACTTGCCACCAATGAGATTGTATGTGTAAAACTGTTTTCCTCCCCTCCCCAAAAAAGTAAATCACGCAGACTTCTTTCCTGTAGATTTGGATTGCCTCTAGTCATGAATGAGTTTTCCAGACAGGGAAATTGATATGGAAATCTGTGGAATAGCTTGTTTGTGGTGGGAGGAAAATCAAGGACATATTGTTAACGTGTTTTCACCTACTTTTACTGCACACCTGTAATGCCTAGTTCGGTGGTTTAGAGAATATGGAGTGTTTCTGGGCTTTCTTATAAGGCAGAGGCTCCATACAAGGTTGCTGATGATTGTTCTAAATTCCCATTGTTTTCTTGGCTTTTCTCCCTTGGTTTATGTGTCGTCTGGAAACTGATTTGTAGTTGGTGAGGTAACATACGTGGAGCTCTTAATGGACGCTGAAGGAAAGTCAAGGGTAAGTGTCTGAGAGAATTTCTTCTGTGGATTTACTACATGAAAAATGTAACTGTATGGTGGCGTGGAATCGAATGAAATCAGGAAGGCAGTGAGTGCTCATGTTACAGTAGCTATGTTTGATTTTGCCAAACATTCGAGTGGGGTGGGAGGGGATTTGCAAATGGGAGTCCTGCTTTTCCAAATGGCTGGCCAAAGAGCTTTTTGGTATTCTGTTTGGATGCCCAATTTGGATAACTGGGGACCAATAGCAGCATTGTCTCTTTGTTAACAGAGGAATTGGCTGTGTGTGAATTATGCATGGAATTTTAGCGGTGGTATAATTAATGTAAAAAGTGTGTTCTTGTCTAGAAAATTTTACTCTTGGTTGTTTGCTGAATTTGAAAGTTGTGTGAACCAAAGATTCCGAAAAGTTGCCTTTGTGCCAGTAAATTGTAAACCAAATATTAAAAACCTGAATGTTCAAAATTGGCCTAGTTTAAAGAGAACATAAACTATTTTCTGTCGTGCATTAGAATGGCTTAGAATAATCAAAAGGATGAGCTTAACTTATGAAAGGGATGGATTTAGGAGGAATATGATAAGGACTCGATTGAGTACTAGAGGGAAGCAGATCTAAAGTTGGTGTGATTTCTTGGAGACCCTGAATTTAGGTCTGCTTATTACAACGTCAGCAGCTCTAGTGCAATGCTGGTAACGCGTAGGAGAGGGAAATATTAAGGAGCCCAGCTTTTTACAAGGAAGGCAAGGCGAGGCACTTCTGTCAGCTTCCCCTTAAAAGGGTTCATTTTAAAAGACTAACTTTGTGACATTAATCATATTTTTAGTCTGTTTATAACTGTCACTGGTATTTACTATTGTTTTCTTTTCTTTTTCCCCTTCCTTGCTCTTCTGACTGGTCTCTGGCTTTCTCCAAAGGGATGTGCGTAAGTATCATCTAGTTACTTACTGGTATTTGAACTTTCTAACTTGTAGGACTGGATTCACTCTATTTGTTTTCTTTTGACTTTTTATAGTGTTGTTGAATTCAAGATGGAAGAGAGCATGAAAAAAGCTGCAGAAGTCCTAAACAAGCATAGTCTAAGTGGAAGACCACTGAAAGTCAAAGAAGTAAGCTCTGGCTTAACACTGCGGATCCTGTATGTAATTGTTGAGTGATCCCTCTTTGGAATTAGGGAAAGACTGTCATGGTCCTAGATGGCGTTTTGCAAAGCAAGTGCCAGCCTGTTATTTTTAATGAAGAGTATCAGTCACAGCCTACAGCAGCCACTCCCTGCAAGGACGTTGGGGTGGTGACCGCCTTCTAACATCTGTGATTTGTCTGCGGCATTGTTGTCTCAGGGACTCTCAATCCGTGAGCCTGTGGGTTTGTGCCATTAAGTTTTACTCTGTCCGAACCCTCTTCTTGGCCCATCTTTTTTCTTTTTTTTTTTAAAGTGAGTTTTTTCCAGCATGGATAACATAGGGAAACTCCATCTCTACAAAAGATATAAAAATTAGCAAGGCATGGTGGTACATGCCTGTAGTCCTACCTACTTGGGAGGCTGAGGCAGGAGGATTGTTTGAGCCCGGGATGTTGGGATTGCAATGAGCTGAGGTTGCGCCCTTGCACTCCAGCCTAGGTGACAGAGTGAGACCCTGTCTAAAAAAAAATAAAGTGAGTTTGTTATTCCTCAAACCTGCTTTCACATTTGATTTGAATCAGATATCTTCCTCGAGGAAGACAGGTTTTTTGTTGACTGGGCGCAGTGGCTCATGCCTGTAATCCCAGCACTTTGGGAGGCCAACGCAGGTGGATCACTGGAGCTCAGCCTGACCAACCTAGTAAAATCCCATCTCTACTAATACAAAAAATTAGCTGGTCATGGTGGCCAGTTCCTGTAATCCTAGCTACTCAGGAGGCTGAGGCAGGAGAATCACTTGAACCTGGGAGGCAGAGGTTACAGTGAGCTGAGAGTGCGCCATTGCACTCCACCCTGGGCAACAAGAGTGAAACTCCATCTCAAAAAAAAAGAAAACCCTCTTGACTTCTTTTTACCTCTTGGGGAGGAAGATGAGTAGATTCAGAGCGAAGCGTGGTAGGGTCTAAGATCTCTCATGTGTTCATGATGTCTTTTTTTAGTGCTGTTGGTGGTAAATGACAGGACAGAGAGTTCGAGAAGAGAGTCAATACCAGAGCTTCACAGACCTGTCCAGATGTTGTTATATTGTCCAGACCTTACATACATGACTTCAAACACCTGAAGGACTTGAAGGATGGGGGGGTACTTGTGTTATCTAAAACTGTTTTGTTTTGTTTTGTTTTGTTTTTTTTCAAACTTTTGGAAAAGTTATTGACGGGGTTTGCAGAAATCACAAAACCTCCCCAATGAATTAGTAATAGATTCAGCTATACCAAGCCCAAGAAGCTCTAATTTCAGTCTGGCAGTTCTACGTTATATCAGCTAATCCTGTTTCTCTCCCTGCCCCCGTTTTCTTTTTTACTTAATTTAGTTAAGAGCTGTGTTTTTAGTGCCACATTTCATGTCCTTTCTTCCTTTCCTATTCCTTTAGCTGGTCTCTTCTAGGCTGGTTGTTGAGTTCATTGGACTTTCTTGTTAATAGATTTGAGAGATGCTTTTCAAACAACCTTTCAGTTTCTAAGTCTTGAGAATATCATTTACTGTGCAAGTATGGTTTTTGTTGTTTCTGGGTCAAACGTAATGGGTCAAACGTAACACGTTTTGTGCTTATTTTAGGATCCTGATGGTGAACATGCCAGGAGAGCAATGCAAAAGGTGATGGCTACGACTGGTGGGATGGGTATGGGACCAGGTGGCCCAGGAATGATTACTATCCCACCCAGTATCCTAAATAATCCCAACATCCCAAATGAGATTATCCATGCATTGCAGGCTGGAAGACTTGGAAGCACAGTATTTGTAGCAAACGTAAGTAAACAGAGCCATCGTCTAAAGTGGAAAATCAGAACTTGATGAAATGACCTTGTCAATATGTTACAAAAGTAATTCTGACATTTGAGAAGAAAAATGTAAATAAGGGTTGTGTTCTTCATTTCTTTAAATCAGCCTTAGGGGTGGACTTTGTCTGCATTCCTAAGTCACAAGCTTGACCATGGTCTCATTGGAGCTGTGATTCCTGAGTTTTGCAGGTGTTCCCATAAGCAGTAACTTGAGTCTGCATTCTCTGTTGGTTTATTTTGTGCGGTTTTGGTGCAGAATAAGAGTGTATGAGCAGAGACAGTGCACTGACACCTTCCTTTTATGTCCGGGGTGGATGATAATACCTCTGCCATCTGCAAGGGGAAATATTTTTAGAAGAAAGTAGGTTGGGTGGGGTAGGGTATGGTAAAGCTTATCAGGGAAACAATTTTTTTAAATGTTTAGAAAATGGGCTGGGCACGGTGGCTCACACCTGTAATCCCAGCACTTTGAGAGGCTGAGGTGGGCGGATCTTAAGGTCAGGAGTTCAAGGCCAGCCTGATCAACATGGTGAAACCCTGTCTCTACTAAAAACACAAAAATTAGCTAGGCGTGGTGATGGGCTCCTGTAATCCCAACTACTAAGAAGCGTGAGGCAGGAGAACAACTTGAACCTCGGAGGCGAAGGTTACAGTGAGCTGAGATCACGCCACTGAACAGCCTGGGTGACAGAGCATGACTCCCATCTCAAAAAAAAAAGTTCAGAAAATGAGTATTAATTTAAAGTATGAGGTAACTTAAGCTTCTGAGAAAAGAGACAGTATATTTACTATAAGTACAGTTTGTTTATAGTGAATGTCAGACTTTATAATCCTATTTTTAAAATTCCATTGCAGTTGCTTAGTTTTTGTGACATTATTTTCTAATACTTTTTTCCCAACCATAGCATGTCTCATTCACGTAGTTAAAATGTTGTGTTTCTTAAGATACTTACATTGAAGTTTTTACCCCGTTCTCTCTTGATTAGCTGGATTATAAAGTTGGCTGGAAGAAACTAAAGGAAGTATTTAGTATGGCTGGTGTGGTGGTCCGAGCAGACATTCTTGAGGATAAAGATGGAAAAAGTCGTGGAATAGGCACTGTTACTTTTGAACAGTCCATTGAAGCCGTGCAAGCTATATGTATCCTTTTGCAGGAATTAAGCTTGTGAACAATTTGACCTAAATTGCTGTTTTAGTAATGTAGGTTTGTGTGAGGAAGATGTGACTATGTGTATTAATGCTTTTTATATGACTAGAGGGAATGCATTACCGTGGATTTAAAAGGTTCTCTGGGCTAGACTGGCTACAGTGGCTTACACCTATTATCCCAGCACTTTAGGAGGCTGAGATGGGCGGATCACTTGAGGTCAGGAGTTCAAGATCAGCCTGGCCAACATGGTGAAACCCCGCCTCTACTAAAAATACAAAAATGAGCCAGACGCGGTGGTTGGCACCTGTAATTCCAGTTACTCTGAAGGCTGAGGCACGAGATTGCTTGAACCCAGGAGGCAGCGGTTGCAGTGAGCCGAGATCATGCCACTACACTCCAGCCTGGGCGACAGAGCAAGACTCAGTCTCAAAAAAAGAAAAAAAAAAAGTTCTCTGGGGGTGGAGTTGATTCAGTACAGTGTGGATGGTTTTCTTTTCAGAAAAGTCTAGGTTTGAAGGAGGGAGCCCAAAGAATGCACCACTAGAGAGAAACTGGGCTGTTGTTTCCTATATAATGGATCCTTACAGGACCTTACTCTGTCCAGTGAGTAAACATCATTTTGGAGTAGGCCACTTGTCCTCGACCCTAGGCTTACCCAAGAGTTTTTAATCCCATGGAGAGTACCCCACATGAGCACATTCATGCAACTCAGGCAAGACATGTCTTACCCAGATAACATGGTGCTTCAGTTTAGATGGTGGTAGACACCTGGCCCATTGGCCACATTCAGAGAACCTTGATGCTTAAGAGGATGTTTGGTGAAAAGTTTAAGGTTATGAATGAAGCTTCACACCTAAGGAATAAGCGGAAGCTGTCTTGTCCTCCCCCCTGAAGCTTTATTTATTGTTCCTTTTATGTTTATTGTTGAAAGCACAATGAAGAATTGAAACTGCTCATAAATTCATCACTTAGAGGGACTGGTAGCAGTTAGGGAGTATTTTCTCTTTCTTTTTTCTTTGTATTTTTTTTGTGCACATTTTTAGAATTGCAATAAATAGCCTTAATTGTAATACCAGCTATGTTTAATGGCCAGCTGCTATTTGATAGACCAATGCATGTCAAGATGGTAAGTCAGTAGGATCTTTCTTTGTGATACACTCAAGTCTAGCAAAAACATGGAATTAATAAGAGTGTACACATACCACTGTAAAATATTTATGGATTATTCTAAATAGGATGCAGTATGTTGAACAAATTTGTGAGAGAAATAACATTTTGCTCAAGCAGCTCTTGAACTGCATTAGATATTTTTCCCTTTGCACAGTTGACTGTTCATGGCTCGCTCAGGAAGTCACCTGGGTATCCTGGTTGAGCAAGTGATCCGTTTCAAAGAATGGCTATTATATGGGGTTCCAGCTTTCAAAGTATTACAATATAATGTTTGTTTAGCATCAAATCTGTTGTGAACATAATTAAGCATTGATTCAGACAGCTGTTAAAGGTCAGTTGGAGCATTTCAGTCTTAATAAACATTTGCTCTGCTGTGGCTGTGCCAAAAATGATAGTTACTACAGACCTGACTGGAACATGCTGATGGCAATCTAGTTGGGACTCAAGTTCACGAAAATGATAAAAGAAGCTATTACAGCAATTTTTTCATTACTCTAAATAGAATAGTTAAGTTTTTTGAATAGATAATAGATTCACATGATTCAAAAGCCAAAAAGCATGAAAAGATAGTGAGAATCCTACTTGGACTTCTTGTCCAGGTTCCCATCATCTCCCACAATAATATCTATGTGTCTTTGATCCTTCCCCTTGACATAAAATAGCAAGTACACTCCACATGCCTTTCCATCCTTGCATATGATTCCATGGCAGGGATAGTGTGTTCAACTGTTCCTCTGTTGATTGGGGGGGGTCATTCCAGTCTTTTGCTGTTGCAAACACTGCTGCACTGGATACTAAGATTTATTCATTTTCATTCTCTTTCAGGATGAGAGGGCCTTACCAAAGGGAGATTTCTTCCCTCCTGAGCGCCCACAACAACTTCCCCGTAAGTGTTTCATTGATTATGGCTGAGAGTTTGAATTTGAGTTATACTGATAAAAAGAAAATGATCACAGAGTTTCACTTGAACCTCTGCCAGGTTAGCCCTCAGTTCTTTTGGCCAGTTCTTTTCTATAGATTTTTCAGGGTGAGAAATGAGCAGAGATTCACAACTCGAGGATATTGTTAGGATTACCTTGTGGTGAGCCCCAGGATGTAGAGGATGTAGTTAGGCATTTTGAAAGTGTCCTGGGGAAGGAAGAATCAGAACCTGCTAAGGGAATGAAAACCAGACTGCCCTCGAATTCAGAAGACATTGATTAGTCTCATGTGGGCCAGCAGTACACACTAGACATCCATACAGAAATTCATCCATAGATGTTTACAGCTGGATGAAATGCACGTGTCGCAGTGTGGATGAACCTTGATTTCATCTGTAGGAAATGCTCAGCATATATAAATTCATAAAGGCAGTAAGTAGATTAGTGGTGGCCCGTGGCTGGGAAGGAGTAAGTGGGGAAGTGATTGCTAATAAGGTTAGATTTCTCTTTTGGATGATGAACGTGTTCTGGAATTAAATGGTAGTGATGGTTGCATATCTCTGAATATACTAAAAACTACTGAATACTTTAGGTGAGTTTTATAGTATGTGAAGTGTCCTGAACAAATAACTTCTCTGCAGAAGGGGAAGGGATCAGCTATGCGTGACTCCAGGTGAAAATCTGTCTTGGGACAGGGAAGGCTAGTTGATTGGCCACCACATAGGAGGCAGAGGCACGTATTAGTGCAAAGTCCTAGATAAGCCTGAGGCGGGAAGCCAGAACCTGAGTGCAGACAGCGGTGGGAGGGTTCAGGGAATCACTGGCACAGGTAGGGCCAGCCTGGAGAAGGAAGATGGGTGAGGGTGACAGGCCTGTGTGTGCTGTGCTGGGGGCCCTCCACCAGGCGGTTTGAGGGGGCCTGGTCTGGAGCAGCTGCTCAAGTTGAGGACCCCGCTCACTTACTGAGTTGGATGGGAGCCCAGCCAGAGCACCTTTGCAGCGTAGCATTAAGGCAGCGTGACAGATGTATCTTGAGAACAAATCTGCGGCTTCATGAGAAGGCTCATCTGTTGAAGGGCATCGTTACTTAGAGAAGGATTGCATGTCCTGGACATAACCTACTCATTTCCCAAATACATACTCAGGGTGTTCACCTGAGCAGTGGTCTCCCTGGACCATGGCGATGGCTCTTGATGGCTCTTGTGCTGGAGCAGGAGGAGGAGCACACACCCCAGGGAGCCCGTTATCCATGGCTCTTGGTCTCCCAGCACATTTCAGGGGGTTGACTTCAAAGCCTTCAGTGCTTTGGGGAGTAAGTAACCTTGGTGATCTCTTGCTGCTGTTGCTATGCAATTAAAGATGGAACGTTAATCAGATTAAATGCCTGGCAACTGGCAGCAGGATTTATTTACTTTTTTTGTGTGTGGCCTTTCAACTGACTGATGGTTTTATTTACTTTTTAAATGAATTTTGTTTTGTTTTGTTTTGTTTGAAACGGGAGTTTCACTCGTTGCCTGGGCTGGAGTGCAATGGCGCGATCTTGGCTCACCGCAACCTCCACCTCCCGGGTTCAAGAAATTCTCCTGTCTCAGCCTCCTGAGTAGCTGAGGATTATAAGCATCACCACCATGCCAGGCTAATTTTCTATTTTTAGTAGAGATGGGATTTCTCCATGTTGGCCAGGCTGGTCTTGAACGTCTGACCTTAGGTGATCACCTGCCTCAGCCTCCTGAAGTGCTGGGATTACGGGCGACTGCACCCAGCCTATTTTTTTTTTTTTTTTTTTTTTTTTAAATGGAGTCTCACTCTATGACCCAGGCTGCAGTTTAGTGGTGCAGTCTTGGTTCACTGCAACCTCCCTCTCCTGGGTTCTACCGATTCTCTTGTCAGCCTCCCAAGTAGCTGGGATTACAGGTGTGTGCCACCATGCCAGGCTAATCTTTGTAATTCTAGTAGAGATGGGGTTTTGCCATGTTGGCCAGTCTGGTGTTGAACTCCTGACCTCAGGTGATCCATCCCTTGGTCTCCCGAAGTGCTGGGATTACAGGTGTCAGCCACCACATCTGGCCAGCATTCATTTTTAAAACTTTACCTGGTTATGGTTTAAGCCTTAGGTGGTGGTTACCCCAAATATTGCAAGTGTAATTAGCTCTTTTGGCTGTTTCCAGAGACCAGCCTGTATTTCTGTGTTCCTGTTTATACTTGTGGGGCATGGAACTGAGTGTGGGCTGGTCCCCAATTGTGGGTTAGGAAGCTTGGGGACAGGAAGATAGGTTCCTTGAATACATTAGTGTCATTGTTACTAAAGCCACCCAGATTCAGAGAGTAGTGTATACCCAGGATGTTGATTGGATGGTTTGTAAACTGCTTTTTTATGAGAAACGTTTTTTGGGCTACTAGGGATTGGGCACACTTGTGCTGCTTGCCATCTGATGTCTTGAGTCACTGTTTCTGATCAGACGGTTCTCAGTCCGTGGGTTAGTGAAACAAATAGGAGCTCAAGAATCTTAGTATGGGGGTTGTTGACTTTCAGGTGCATTGGTTTTTAGCTGCCTTTGTGGTATACACACACATCCCAAACGCCAGAACAAGGTTTTGTTTCTAAGTGTGCTGATGTTAAATACTGCATTAGGTCCTGGGGATGCTGGTGGGTGGGGGCGGTAGGCTGGAGTGGATAGCTGCAACTGAATAAACAAAGACTCATTTCCTTTGAGGGTCAAGGTTTGCTAAGTAGGGGAAAACTAAGCCACTTTCTCTTTTCCTTCCAGATGGCCTTGGTGGTATTGGCATGGGGTTAGGACCAGGAGGGCAACCCATTGATGCCAATCACCTGAATAAAGGCATTGGAATGGGAAACATAGGTCCCGCCGGTAAGATTGACAGTGCACCTTGCTTGGGGGTTTGGGGAAGTGAAAATTATTAAAGTTAATTATTGGGGCAGTTGGACTTTGAGCAGTTTAAATGAAATACAGATTTAACTGGGCCAAAAATCCCTCCTCATTCATCTTTGCTTCATTTTGAATAAAGGCAATATTTTGTATTTTTATTGAGTTGAATCCTTTTTTAAAAAGTCATTATGCTTTTTCATTGTAACCTCACAACCTTCTGAGCTGAGATAGTCATGCCATTTGATAAGAGGAGGCAAGCCAGAGAGTTGCTCTTGCTCAAGGTCACACTGTCAGTTAGTGACAGGCTGCAGGTCTCCTGAGCATGGAACCGTGGCACTGCTGCAGTGCCCTAAAAAGTTTCTTACCCGGACCCCCTTGGGCCCTCCTGGTGTGGGCACAGCTGCTGCTGGAGAGCTAGGGGCATTGATAGATCAAAGAAAGGCGGAGAGGGCCTTACTGCATGACAACATGGCCGACACAAGAAACATGGTGGACATTGTTGTCTTTAAGAAGACAAAGATGGGACTCTGGGAGGCTGAGTTGGGTGGATCACCTGAGGTCAGGAGTTTGAGACCAGCCTGGCCAACATGGCAAAAACCCGTCTCTACTAAAAATACAAAAATTAGCTGGGCATGGTGGTGTGGGCCCATAATCCCAGCTACCCAGGAGGTGGAGGCAGGAGAATCACCTGAACCCGGGAGGCGGAGGCTGCAGTGAGCTGAGATTGCACCACTGCTCCAGCCTGGGCAACAAGAGCAAGACTCTGTCTAAAAATAATAGTAAAAGGACAAGGAGTAGCTACTGCATGAAAGCTTTGACATGTAGAATAAACTTAGGCTTTGCTGTTGAGCGTTTTCATTTCTGTGTAGTGATGTATTTTTATTAAGGAATGTTTCATTTTTATGGCCTCAGACTTTGGTCTTTCTTGGACTCCTTGGAAATTACAGTGTGGATTGCATATCCCTAGTCTCTTTTCCAGAGCCACCACCCCTGGTGCTGACTTCAAAGTCCTGGGCCGCAACTGAGAATGGCCCTACCAATCCCCCCCCACCTCATACACACGCCCCCACCATGTCCCCATGTCTGACACCCAAACAGAAAGACAGGGGGTTGGGGAAGTCTTGGTGTTTTTAGGAACTGTTTTTATTTTGAAGATTTTACCTTTAACAGGGACTTTTTATCTACTTCTGTTCCCTAAAATATTTTTCTAAAAAGTTAATGTTCCATAAAATGTGTTTTATAATTCTATTTCATGTTTAATACTGCCTGACTTGAGGCGTGTTGTGGTGGCTCATGCCTGTAATCCCAGCACTTTTGGATGCCAAGAGTTTGAGATTAGTCTAGTCAGCATAGTGAGACCCTGTCTCTACAAAATATTTTTTAAAAATTAGCCAGGTGTGGCAGCGTACACCTATAGTCCCAGCTACTTGGGAGGCTGAGGCAAGAGGATCACTTGAGCCTCGGAGGCTGAGGTTTCAGTAAGCAGTGACCATGCCACTGTGTTCCAGCCTAGGTGGCAGAAGGAGACCCTGTCTCAAAAAAAAAAAAAAAAAAAAAAAAAATCTGAGGGAGCTACATAGTTTAATGACCCAGTTGGACAGTGTTTTTTTGTTGTTTTTTGTTTTTTTTGAGACAAAGTCTCCCACTGTCGCCAGGGCTGGAGTGCAGTGGTGTGATCTCGGCTCACTGCAACCTCTGCCTCCTGGGTTCACGCGATTGTCCTGCTTCAGCCTCCCGAATAACTGGGATATCAGGCACACACCATCATACTGGCTAATGTTTTGTATTTTTAGTAGAGATGGGGTTTCACTGTGTTGGCCAGACTAGACTAGTCTTGAAATCCTCGTGATCCGCCCTCCTCGGCCTCCAAAGTGCTGGGATTACAGGCGTGAGCCACCACACCCAGACGATCCATCGGAATTTTAAGCGATATATTTGACAATTGAAATGGTAGGGCCTCTTTTTATTGATAACCAATATACTTGTCATCAGAGATTTTCTTTTGGGTTCATTTGCTGGTTTGGAATTATGCTTTTTAAATTCAAATGTTATTTACTGCTTTGACATAATTTTAGTTTGCATTGACTTTTTCTTTTTAAGGAATGGGAATGGAAGGCATAGGATTTGGAATAAATAAAATGGGAGGTAAGAAATTTAAAATGAAGTACAAACATAATCACTTTTAGGCATAGTTTTCTCTCTTTCCTCTTTTCTTTCTTGTTTAAGCCCTGCATGAAATTACCATCGGTTTCAGTTTGAGTCTAGAGATGACTTCCTCCTGCCTGTCCATCCCTTTAGCAGGTGTCTTGGCTTTTGGTTCTGGCTGTCTCACTAACTAGCTCTGTGACCTTGGGCAAACCACTCCATCTCTGTGCCTCTTTTTGCTTGTCTATTCATTGAGGGGGTTGGATCAGACCAGCTTTTTGAAGATGGTGATTTTTAAAGAAGGGCAGTAGCATTTTTTTGTTTTTCAAAAGCTCTTAAACTTGGTGAGTTCTTGGCAGAGGATACCCCAGTTGAAACATGTGACAGAATTTTTCTTTCCCTGCTCAGTCTAAGCAGTCTTGTTGGATGATGGTGAAATGTGAACCTCTGTTGCAGGAATGGAGGGGCCCTTTGGTGGTGGTATGGAAAACATGGGTCGATTTGGATCTGGGATGAACATGGGCAGGATAAACGGTAAGAATCATGTTTTCTTCCTGCTTTCACCCACTCTTTGCCTTCTCTTGGCTCTCAGGTGACTTTTAGGCTGCAGACCCACTGAATAAGTGATTTATCACTTCCACTTTTCTACTGAATCAAATGTCTTTTGAATTGCCCTAAATATTTAAAAAACTAGGCATAATAGTAGACTTTTAATTCACTTGGTCACTAGTCTTTTGAGATGTCCTATGTTCCCAAGCTCTGCAATAATTTTCCAGTACAGTGTTAAAAAGCATGTACACATTCATGGTTATGGGCTCCGAGTATAAGGGATTCTTTAAAGTTTGATCAAGTTTGTCTCTCTCTAGGAGTGCTGGAATAGGTAGCTCTTTATCGTCTGCCCCAGCAGCATTGTCCACAGAAGCATTAATAAAAACCACAGCCTCCTTTAATGTAGCAGTTTCATAATGCAAATTCTGGTTTACTATAATTCAAAACCTCCACTGCCCCCCCCCACCAACTTTTTTTTTTTTTTTTTTTTTTTTTTTTTTTGAGATTGGCTTTCACTCTGTTGCTCAGCCTAGAGTACAGTGGTGCGATCTTGGCTCACTGCAACCTCTGTTCAAGCAGTTCTTCTGCATAGCTGGGATTACAAGTATATGCCATCATGCCTGGCTAATTTTTGTATTTTTAGTAGAGACGAAGTTTCACCATGTTGGCCAGGCTGGCCTTGAACTCCTGACCTCAGGTGATAGGCACACCTCAGCCTCCCAAAGTGCTGGGATTACAGGCGTGACCCAGCTCCCCAGCATTTTAACAGAAATATAACAATATATTTCATTTAGTCCTTGTGAGAGCCACGTGATATGTACGTACTGTTATCCCAATTTCGTTGGATGCTGAGTCATAGGTTGTCTAAGGCCACTTGACTGGTAAACCGTGGTGCCTGGATATGAACCCAGGCCGTCTGGCTCCAGATCTGGCTCTTCATCATGTGGGGATCTTGCCTTTTACAAGTGCCTCCAGCACAGCACTAGCCCCAGGGCACGAGCGGGGCCTTCATTTTTGAAATCCTCTATGTTGCTGGTTACTCTTTGACCTTCCCCTTCACTGCAAGAAAGCAGCTGCTTTTATACACACAAACTTTCTTGGAATGGGAAGTCATTAGAGATTTGGGTGTAAACCTTTCTTTGTGGGTTTCTCGTAACAGAGGATGTGAAAATGGTACAAGGACAGACATCATTGTCAGGCTTGAAAGGCGGCTGTCTCTGATGATCAGGCCCTTCTGGTGCATAGGGAGCGGTGGGGCATGATGTCTGTTGCCCTCTTCATGTGTGCCTTGTTCTAGAAGGTGGTAAAGGGTGTAGGAAAGTTGTCATCATTAGTAATAAAGCAACAAAGGTCTGTATTTCCAGAGTACATTCAAGCTTGTAACTTGCGTGTGCATGGGATTTTAATTTAAAAAAGAAAAGTTTCCAAAATCTGGCTTGCTAAAATGTTACTCAGAGCAGATTAGTCTGGGTTTGTTGGCTTACGCCTGTAATCCCAACACGTTGGGAGGCCAAGGTGAGAGGATCGCTTGTGCTCAGGAGTTCAAGACCAGCCTAGGCAACGTGGCAAAACCCCATCTCTTATTTTTTAAAAACAGATTAGTCATTAGGGAATTTGAGTTGTTGCTGTGAGAAGCAGAGTGGTGCAGTTATAAGTAGATGGAAGCCAGGATGGTTTGGCTTGGGAGCTGTGCTGAGCCATGTGGCAAAGTCAGTGGTGAACTGGCAGGTGTAATCTAGCAGTCAGGATTCACAGCCTGGGGTAGGGGGTGGCAAAGGATTCCAAGTGCCGATTCTCTTAGGAGAACCACAAGTGGAGTGTATGTTCCTGGACTGTTTTCTTAGATGTTCTCAGATTCACCACTCGGAGTGCTCCTTCTACAGCAGAGTAGAAGGAATGACCTCTAGAGCCCTTGGGCACTGCAAGGAACCTGTAAATCACAGTGGAAAAAGAATTGAAGAAGGCATTTGGGTTTAATAAAATGTTCATGACCAGAGTGTAGCCATTACGGTCATGGGTGCTGCCATTAGACCAGTGGTCAGGCAGACTCCCAGAGCCCATCACTCAGCGTGAGTCAAATCTTGATAGACTGGCTATAAAAATTTAAATCGGGGTGGGGAGTTGGGGAGAGATAGCATGGGGAGAAATGCCAGATGTAGGTGATGGGGAGGAAGGCAGCACATTACACTGCCATGTGTGTACCTATGCAACAATCTTGCATATTCTTCACATGTACCCCAAAACCTAAAATGCAAAAAAAAAAAAAAAAAAAAAGGATTATATAAAAGGAAATAACTGAGTGGTAACACTATAAACTGATATATTCTTCAGGCCTTAATTGTGCCAGCGTTCTCCTTAGCTCTCCTTCCTCAGTGCCTGTATGGGGGGTTACCCACAATAATTGGCTCAGAATAAATCTCTTCAGATATTTAAAAAAAAAAAAATTAAATCAAAAGATTGTGAAATGTTGGCTGGGTGTGGTGGCTCATGCCTGTAATCCCAACACTTAGGGATTAAAGTAAAAAAAAAAAAAAAAAGATTGTTAAATGTCAGAAACTGACTGTTGTGAGGCAATATTTGACAGTGAAAATGCTGCCCTTTGCAGGTGTAAATTGGAGTGCAGAGTGCTCCCTGAGTTCTGGGGCCCCGTCAACAGCCAGCAAGATAAGTTGTGAGGCCCTTGCCAACATGCTGATGCTGGCGTGTGGTATGTGTGTCTGGAGTGGGGTGCTGCATTCTTGCAGGCAGGTGGCAGGATGGAAGGAGAGCAGCAGAGCTCCACAAAGATGCCACTGTGGGCCTGTGGGGTTCTGTTTTACACACCTGCCCACCCTCCCCATTTACCCCCAGGCTCCTGGGCTCTGCTGTCCAGCAGATAGCACCATGAGGAGTATGCTGAACCTTGAGGTCACTTGAGTTAATTCAAACTAGGAATATTAAGCCCACCATTGGCGGCCACAGTCCTTGTTAATTCATAATATGTGGCTGCTGCCACATCTCTAATGGAGTTGCTTATTTCATTGAAAGATAGGGATTCTGGCTGTGTAGAAACATTCTTTGTAGCTGTGTAGTACAAGGCAGTCATCACATAGCACCTGTCTTACCGGACATTTCTAAGGACTAAGATTAATAACAACTAGACTCTTCAAGGACCTCTCAGCATGGGAGGGAGAGATTGTTTATGGATCTTGCAGCAAGAAGAGTGTGATTCCCATTTTAGCCTGCATGAGATGGACACACAAGAAAAGAAGTAGCCAGCAATAGGAATCACGAAAGGCCTTCTCAAACAAGTGACCACTGGGGTGGGCTTTCTCTGCAGAAGCTAGGACCCTTGTGTTTTTTTTTTTTTTTTTAAAGACAGGGTTTCACCATGTTGGCAGGCTGGTCTTGAACTCCGGATCTCAGGTGATCCGCCTGCCTCGGCCTCCCAAAGTGCTGAGATTACAGGCGTGAGCAACCACGCCCAGCCTGGACCCTTGTTTTAAAAGACATCATAAGGCTGGCCGTGGTGGCGCTTTTTTTTTTTTTTTTTTTTTTTTTTTTTAAATAGTTTAATGTATTTTAATAGCAAACTTACAGGAACAGCACAGAAGACAGACAACATTAAAAACATGTACTTGCATGTAGGACAACTCAGAAAAGTATAGTGAATGGATGGAATCTACTGTATGATAAAATGCTACAAACACTATTTAGTTGCTGTCAATAAGAAATTTACTTGTTTTAAAAAAATCCAAATGCTGGCATTGTCCAGAAAAATTTAACAAGTTTACTTATAATTATTATAAAGTCGAACCGCTGAAACTTGTTCACTGAAACATTTTAACTTGCATTAATGCTTTACGTCTCTGCATTTATTTTAAAAATTCACACACAAATGAAAATGGAAAAACTGCCAATACCTGATTTCTGTCCCCTGTTTTTCCACTCGCAATCATATACTTAGGTACCTTTTGACCCCATGGAAAAAAAAAAAATGTAACATTCAGAACTACCAGTAACAGGAAGAAGATAATTTTTTTTTTTTTTTTTGAGAATGAAATGTTTCCCATCATAGTGGATTCTTAAGCACGCTCTCCACGTATGCGGTGTGCTAGCTGGATGTCTTTTGGCATAATTGTTACGCGTTTGGCATGGATAGCACAAAGGTTGGTGTCTTCAAAAAGGCCAACCAGATAGGCCTCACTTGCCTCCTGCAAAGCACCGATAGCTGCGCTCTGGAAGCGCAGATCTGTTTTAAAGTCCTGAGCAATTTCTCGCACCAGACGCTGGAAGGGAAGTTTGCAAATCAGAAGTTCAGCGGACTTCTGATAACGTCTAATTTCACAGAGTGCCACAGTGCCAGGCCTGTAATGATGAGGTTTCTTCACCCCTCCAGTAGAGGGCGCACTCTTGCGAGTGGCTTTTGTAGCCAGTTGCTTCCTGGGTGCTTTACCACCGCTAGATTTGCAGACAGTCTGCTTTGTACAAGCTATGGTATAGAGAGACCTTCTTACTTACCCCCTTCTCCTTCGGCTGGAGTTCGGCAAGCGAGAGGCGGCGCTGGTGTTGGAGAGCAACGGCGGTGCAGCAGCGGCTGCGAAAACAATTGAAAGCGGCCATGGTGGCTCTTACCTGTTATCCTAACACTTTGGGAGGCTGAAGCAGGAGGATCACTTCAGTCCAGGAGTTCACCCTGGGCAACATAGTAAGATCTCATCTGTACAAAAAAATAAAGAAAATTAGCCAGGCACGGTGCTACACACCTGTCCTAGCTGCTTGGGAAACTGAGGTGGGAGGATGGCTTGAGCCCAGGAGGTCAAGGCTGCAGTGAAGCATGATCATGCCACTGCATGTGCGTGCCATCATGCCTGGCTAATTTTCTTGTATTTTTAGTGAGATAAGGTTTCACCATGTTGGCCAGGCTGGTCTCAAGTCCTGATCTCAAGCATTCCACCCACCTCTACCTTCTGAAGTACTGGGATTACAGGTGTGAGCCGTTGCACCAGGTCTGTTCTTGTTTTATATTGGCTGTATTATTAGAATTTATGAAGGCCCTAGAAACGTGGTCATCAGATTCATCCTTCAGCTCAGAGGGGCAAGATTCTTTTTCTTTTTTTTCTTTCTTTCTTTTTTTTTTGAGATGGAGTCTTGCTCTGTTGCTCAGGCTGGAGTACAATGGCACAGTCTTGGCTCACTGCAACCTCTGCCTCCTGGGTTCAAGTGATTCTCCTGCCTCAGCGTCCTGAGTAGCTGGGATTACAGGCACCTGCCACCATGCCCAGCTAATTTTTTATATTGTTAGTAGAGATGGAGTTTCACCATGTTGGCCAGGCTGATCTTGAACTCCTGACCTCAGGTAATCTGCCTGCCTTGGCCTCTCAGTGTTGGGATTATAGGCGTGAGCCACTGCGCCTGGCTGATTCTTCTTTTAAGACAGGGTCTTGCCCTGTCGTCCAGGCTGGAGTGCAGTGGGCTTGATCTCAATGTAGTGGGCTGAAGCAGGCTCCCACCTCAGCCTCTCAGTGGCTAGGAACACAGCCACATGCCACCATGCCCTGCTAATGTTTTGATCTTTTGGTAGAGACATGGTCTCCGTATGTTGCCCAGGCTGGTCTCAAATTTTTGGGCTCAAGTGATGCTCCCGCCTTGGCCTCCCAAAGTGCTGGGTATACAGGCAGCAGCTACTATGCCTGGCCAACAGTGTATTTTTGTTGTTGTTGTTTTGAAAGAGACGGAGTTTTGTTCTTTCACTTCAGCTTGAGTGCAGTGGCGTGATCTTCTTGCCTCACTGCAACCTCCGCCTTCTGGTTTCAAGCAATTCTCCTGCCTCAGCCTCCTGAGTAGCTGGGGTTACAGGTGTGTGCCACCACGCCTGGCTAATTTTTGTCTTTTTAGTAGAGACAGAGTTTCATTATGTTGGCCAGGCTGATCTCAAACTCCTGACTTTGTGTTCCGCTTGCCTCAGCCTCCCAAAGTGCTGGGATTACAAGTGTGAGCCACCACACCAGGCCCTAGTGGTGTATTTAAAAATATATATATTTTAAAACACTACCATTTGGCTGCAAACAGTAATTTGTGGATAGGATAGCTGTGGCAAGAATAGATGGCATGTGACTTTACTCTCGTAGGTACTTTTTCTTGCTCAGAACCTTCAGTTCCTTGCCACTATGTGGCACCTCTCGCCTCATTCCACTTCCTGCAGTGGCACATGAGTGGCACACCGAGAGGTGGATGTGGGCTGCTTGCCTGTGAGGTCGCTTCATGTGGTCGCAGGAAACTGTCCTGTCCTGACTGGAATAGAAACATTGTAGGGTGCCACCTCTCCTGCTGTAGTTCCACCTTCTTTCTGATTGGTACCATGCGATCTCTTTGTCCTGGAATCCTGCTGCTGCTTATGATCAGACCTACATTAGTAAAGTGATGTAGTCAGATTCTCAGAGTGGTTGGATTGGTTTTTCCAAGATTGTATTCTTGGTCTCTTTTTCCTGTGTCCTTGCCATGAGAGTTGGTGGTACTCCTTTCATGGTGGTACTCCTTTCTGTAGTGCCTTCCTACTTGGTGTCCCTTCCCGTGCCGAGACAGTAGATCTTTGCGCTTCTTTGTGCAAACAACTGTACTTTCTGCTTCAGAAATTTGGATAGATCTGTGGTCTTTGACCTTCAAGGACAAGGTGCAGCCGAGGTGATACTAAGGGTGACTTGGAACAGCGCCAGAGATCTTTGCATCCAAATGGCCTAGTGAGAACGCTGGTGGGGACGTGGGTTCCCAGATGCTGTTGCTCAGAACACCAGATCTGCTGTGGGGCTGGGGACTGAGTGGGCTTGGCACAGGCAGTAGGTGTGTACAGATAGAGCGGCTGGCGGCGTTGGGTGCAGAGGTTGGAGGTGAGGGTCTACGTGGGGCAGGGGAGGAGCATGGGCAGAACAGGCTTCAGTTGTGGTCAGCGCAGGGAGGCCTGTGAATGCTGACAGGAGAATCTGGCAATTCTCTTCCTGTCAGTGGCTTGCTGGTTGCAAGCTTTTGCAGGTGTCTTGGAGGTGTGTTAGTTGAAAGCTTGATCTAGGTCAGGGGCGTCCAGAGGAGAATATAATCATAGGTTCTTAGCTTGTTTCTGGTTGAGTTAGTATAGCCCCTTCCTCTTCCCTCTTTTCTGCTTATCACTAGAGACAGAAACTAAAAACCATGGCTTTGCTGCCAAAAGCCCAAAACAGAACAACAGCAAAGTAAGGTGGGTTGGACAAGCTTGGTCGAGGTGCTATCTTTGGAAAGCCAGCCTCTGCTCAGGCACGCTGGGCAGGATTGCAGGCGTCCTGGGAGTGAACTGTACCTGCTGGTAGGCTGAAGTCTGTGTCTCTTGGTGAACTTTCCTACCTCTTCCTGGGGCAGTTGGGATATAAGAAGCAGCTGTGTGGGGGACAGGTGTTTTCTTTTTTTTGTTTGTTTTGAGACAGAGTCTCACTCTGTCGCCCAGGCTGGAGTTCAGTGCCACAGTCTCCGCTCATTGCAGCCCCCACCTTGTGGGTTCAAGTGATATTTCTCACTTCAGCCTCATGAGTAGCTGGGATTACAGGCACCCGCCATCATGCCCAGCTAATTTGTGTATTATTAGTAGAGACGGGATTTTACCATGTTGGCCAAGTTGGTCTTGAACTCCTGACCTCAGGTGATCCAACCACCTTAGTCTCCCAGAGTGCTGGGATTACAGGCGTGAACATGCGCAGCCATGGGACAGGTGTTAATGCCTGTGTGGCTTCAATCATAAAGTGAAATGTACCTGGTGGCCAGTGTCCAGGTTGCTGAGCATATACTTTGAGACCAGAGCAGGTGGGTACACGTGTCTTCTACATAGCAAAAGACTGACCAGAAGCTTGGAAAGGTAACGCTATGATAGCATCAGACAAACCTTAATGATGTGTGGGTGAGCCATGGGTAAGTGAGCCAGCAGCATTGTGTTTGGGTCACTTGGCAGGGGGTGCATTGATGTATTTTTCTGAAACCTTATCTATTGCTTAGCACAGCACACGGAGCTCATTTCAGGCAGGACTGGCATGCTCCTCAAGGATTTCCGTGCAGAGCTCATTTGTTAGGTAATGGGGGCTTTCAGCGTTGAGGCTGTCCACGGAGCTGCAGCTTTAATTTGCTCTGTCATAACAAGAGGTGCCTCTGGGTGGGCAAATGTGGGCTTCAGGTGGGTGATGCTGGGCAGTCTTTGGAACAAGAAGTTGCCTGGGGTGGAGCTGGGGGCTTAGTTTCCAGCTCAGGTGAGGCAAGGAAGCCTCAGTCCTGAGAACCTGGACCAGAATTAGAAAACTGCCGCTGAGCAAGACGCGACGGCCCCCTTCTTGCTCTGGCTCTCAGCTCACGGATGTACACGGCTCCATCTGTGCCGGGCGCGTTCTCAGGTGATCCCCCACTCTGGGCCTCGGACTCTGGAGCTCCCTGGGGTTTTGGTATCGTGACCAGCAGCAAGGACTTCCTAGTTCTCTGTATAATGATCTTGTCTGTGTGTGTATGTTTCTCAACCCCTTTCCCTTTTTCTCATTTTTATTAGTAGTATTTCTGTAATGAGCACATTTCTGTTGCCATAGAGAAATTTGGCTAATTTTTTTTTCTTCCTGATTTCCTTAGAAATCCTAAGTAATGCACTGAAGAGAGGAGAGATCATTGCAAAGCAGGGAGGAGGTAGGAACCACTTAGTTTGATGTTTTGTTTTTTTTAGCATAGGCTGTTATCGCTGGGGACCATAGAGCTTAGTGGTGAGAAGCACGGGCTCTGACACAGACTCCCTGGGGTGGGACCAGCTCTGCTGCTTTCTAGCTGTGTGACATTTGGCAAGTCACTGAACCTGTTTCTCATGGCGCTCATTTGTAAAATGGGAGTGTAATAGTACCTGCCTCAGGGACGCTATGGAGAGGGAATATGTGTGAAAGAGTACTGAAGCCTGGGCTCTGCACAGGCTGACCATCCTTATTGTCAGGGTACCTTGAACTTGGGGATTTTGTTTTCCACACTATACATTCCTAAAAGTAAATGTTTTCCTTCTACTTGGTAAGTAGAAGAAATGTAATAAATGCTTACTAAAATACATACATGTACTCAGTAGGAAAATAGGAAGAAAGTATTATCTGAAGCCCCACACCCAGTGATGAGTGCTGGAAACATTCTGTTCTGCACCTTTCATGAATACACAGTTTTTTGGACGCTTAGAACAAAATATACTTTGTGGGGTTTTTTTGGAGACAGTCTCGCTCTGTCTCCCAGGCTGGAGTGTCATGGCGTAATCTCGGCTCACTGCAGCCTGGACTTCCCAGGCCTAAGCAATTCTCCCACATTAGCCTTCCAAGCAATTCTGGGGCTACGGGCGCATATCACCCAGCCTGGCTAATTTTTTGTGTTTTGTGTAGAGACGGAATTTTGCCATATTGCCCAGGAACTTGAACTCCTGGCCTCAAGTGACCTGCACACCTCCAGAGTTACGTGATGACCGGTGTGAGCCACCACGCCCGGCCTAAATGTACTTTTTTAGCCTGATTTTTCTCAAGGCTCTGAGTGTCTTGGCATCTTCCCTGCTGACTTCTGTATTGGGCTTGCTCTGGAGCTCCACACTGGCACCATTTTTTCCCAGTTTTTTGCTGCAGTTGGCATTGGGAGTTGCCTCATTTCTGGTGCCTTTGGGCAAAGTGCCCATTCTCACTAGGTTCTTTCTATTGTGGGGAAGTTGGTTACCTTCTGAGACCTCTCCCCTCTGAAAATCTTCCATTCTTCAAGTTGGGCTTTTTGCTGCCCAGTGTGCTGCTGGGCAGCTAAGGAAGCAGGCAAGGAGCAGCAGAGCCACTCGGCCATGGTCAGTTAGAGAGCCAGTTAGAGAAACTGCTGAGTTTTCTTTTGAATTAGTATCTTGGACTAGCTCCTTGGATCAGTCACAGGCTGGCTCGTGGCTGACAGCCACCCTCAGAGCCAGGCAGCGGCATTTGGGGGAGGAACTCTGAGCTTGGCATGTGGAAAGGGGTGGCCTTACTGATGGAGCCAGACCCTTCCTGTCCAGAGTTGCAAGCACCACCAGTTGGGGTCCTTTCGTTCTGCTGACTGACCCCAGCCGCTGCCAGAGCTAACTCTGCAGTGCCATCGACATCTTTCCAAAGCTAGCAAGTCATTTGGTTTCCCTAACAAAAAGGTCCCCAGAAGTGGCCAGCTGTGTGCATTTGTACACAGAGGATCTCTCTTGGTGTGTGTTTTCTTTACCTCTGCAAATCTCTTCTCTGTACCCTGGAAGTGCTGAGGAAATGCAGCTGGATTGGCCCCCAGCAGAGCATCCTAGGAGACAGGGTGGGAGCAGACAAGTGGGAGTGACTCTGACTTGCCTCCACGTCACTCCTTTTCATGAGCCTGGGTGGCCCTCTGAGTGGGGCATGTCCATGCCTCCCCCTGGAGCATTTCTCAGTGTCTGCTGATGGAGAAACCTCAGGTCTCAGCAGTTGACATCCATGGCTTACAAAGCTTGTCACAGATACTAGCACCTCACAGGCACATGCAGGGGAGTTGTGTTATAGAAATCTGAGCTGTGGCATAGAGCAGAGAGAATGCTGTGAGGCCCCCATGCACCCACCACTCAGCTGTAGCTGTTGTCACATTCGAGGGGTGTCTTAATGGTAAATTATGGCAGGCCTTTACCCCTGATCTGTGCCTGTGAGCTGAAGTGGTCTGGCATGTTGTGCACATGCACACAGAAGTTCTTGGCACTCACTGTTTTGTGTCCCTGTTTCAGGTGGAGGTGGAGGCAGCGTCCCTGGAATCGAGAGGATGGGTCCTGGCATTGACCGCCTCGGGGGTGCCGGCATGGAGCGCATGGGCGCAGGCCTCGGCCACGGCATGGATCGCGTGGGCTCTGAGATCGAGCGCATGGGCCTGGTCATGGACCGTATGGGTTCCGTGGAGCGCATGGGCTCTGGCATCGAGCGCATGGGCCCGCTGGGCCTCGACCACATGGCCTCCAGCATTGAGCGCATGGGCCAGACCATGGAGCGCATCGGCTCTGGCGTGGAGCGCATGGGTGCCGGCATGGGCTTCGGCCTCGAGCGCATGGCCGCTCCCATCGACCGTGTGGGCCAGACCATTGAGCGCATGGGCTCTGGCGTGGAGCGCATGGGCCCTGCCATTGAGCGCATGGGCCTGAGCATGGAGCGCATGGTGCCCGCAGGTATGGGGGCTGGCCTGGAGCGCATGGGCCCCGTGATGGATCGCATGGCTACCGGCCTGGAGCGCATGGGCGCCAACAACCTGGAGCGGATGGGCCTGGAGCGCATGGGCGCCAACAGCCTGGAGCGCATGGGCCTGGAGCGCATGGGTGCCAACAGCCTTGAGCGCATGGGCCCTGCCATGGGCCCGGCCCTGGGCGCTGGCATCGAGCGCATGGGCCTGGCCATGGGTGGCGGTGGCGGTGCCAGCTTTGACCGCGCCATCGAGATGGAGCGTGGCAACTTTGGAGGAAGCTTCGCAGGCTCCTTTGGTGGAGCTGGAGGCCATGCCCCTGGGGTGGCCAGGAAGGCCTGCCAGATATTTGTGAGAAATGTAAGTGGCTCTTGGGTAACTTCTTGGTGGTGGTGAGCACGAGGGGACGAGGGAGGCAGAGATCAGCAGGATGAAGTCAGAGGTGGCACCCCACAGAGGGGACCACACCTCCTTGCCACTGTCCCTAATGTTTTGTGATAGCAGGACAAGTAAGGAATGTGAGAATGGTGGGTTCTGGAATTGCCTGGGCTTCTCCACTGTGCTAGAATATGGAGCAGACTCTGAGCTCAGAGACTCCAGTTTCTGATTGTTTAATGAGCCCGAGTCTTGCACAGTGATCCAGGGAAAGAAGTGGCTGTAACAGAATTAGTTTCCCCAGCTCAGCCACCGTTAGCCTCTTTTGAGTGACTGTGGGCTGTGCATTGCAGGTCCGAGCTTCCCGCCCTGCTTGGTGCTCTCCCTGGCAGAGCCCCAGGGAGGAGCTGGCTGTGCCCCTTCACAGCCTTGTCCCACGTGGACCTGTTAGTCCCTGCTGATCCCATCAGTCTGAAGGGCAGCACTTCTTGGTGTAGTAAGAAATTTAGCTGTGAGGCATGCCTTAGGATTTGCTTTAATCACACATCAGTCTCCCTTTTCTTCTCCCCCCTTAGCTCCCATTCGATTTCACATGGAAGATGCTAAAGGACAAATTCAACGAGTGCGGTAAGTGTTGGGAACGGCTTTCTAAGTCTTGCCTCACGCTTGTTGGTGATGCAGCCGAGTCAGCAGCAAAGCCTCCCTCCCATCCCTCTCCATCAGCTCAGGACTCATGGCCTTGCCATTGTTCTGCCCATGCCAATGCTCAGGTTAGGTTGAGTGTCCTGTGATGTGTCATACATTTTTCACCTGTTATCATTTCATCCTTAATTACTTTTTTCCTCCTTTGTTGAGGCTTTTGAAACAAGGTAGTAGTGTCCACATTTCACAGATGAGTCAGGCAAAGTCTTCTTTTTGAGCTCATCTGGCTTCTAGGTGGCAAATACATCCCAGACGAGGTTGGTTCCCCCTCAGCACAGCTGATTGAGGACCTGAGAGAGAATGCCCCACCAGCAGGTGCCATGGGGAGGCGCTGTGGGCTCTGGGTGCACAGCTACTCATGTGAGGGTGAGGCTAAGGTCACGTGGTTTCATGGCAGACAACCCTTCTGGAAGGCTCCCTCTGTGGCTGAAAGCAAGTTGTCTTCCTTCCCTGCCCTCCAGGGTAAGCCCTCACCCCTCATGCACTACCTCTGTTCTCTTTAACCAGAGGGGCCTGAACCAGGGCTGAGCAGTTGCTCCCGCACTGTCCTCCCACTTCCTGTTTCAGCAGCTGCTCCGATTTCACCACCATTACTGCTTCTCCATGGTTTTTGGGGCAAGCCCTTGAGTCATGACCTGCTTCTTTCCCCACTCCTGAGTTTCCACATTGTAGCTAGATATTCTGAAAAGGCCAGTGGGATCACAGCCCCCCACTTTTGCAATGCCTGGAGGGACCCTTAGCCTTCAAGAGAAAGTCTAGCCTCTCAAGCCCTTGAAGACTGGTCCCTTGCTCCTCCATCTCCTTCCCCTCCCCTCCCAGAACCTGAGCAGCAAGTGCTACAGGCACCCTGCAGTGCTGTGTGCGAGCCCCTACTGGCAAGTCATCTTTCTGGTGAATTTGTGTAAGCTCTCAGAACTTACCCCTGAGGACCCCTCCATCCTTCCTGCCCTGGGCCCTCTCCTAGGCTGAGTTCCTTCCTGCTTCTGGCTTTGTGGCCCTAGCACCTTTAGCCTCTAGTGCTCTGACCCTGTAGGCCTGGCCTGTTTCCAGTGTTGACACATCTCTGGATGCTGAATAGATGTTGAAATGAATATATGTGATGTTGCTGGCTTACACTTGGACAGTACAGATGTCCATTGGATCGTGGATGGCTTTGTAACCAGAGACAGTGGCGTATCAAAAATGAAGCCTCTAAAATATATATAGCCAGCCTTCTGCCTCTAAAGCTGACTTGACATGGTGCCTTCTTTTTTGAACTTTCAGGAAGGCTTTTCCTGGGGCAGGGGCAAGCTCTGTTAGCAGAAGAACGGCAGTGTGGGCCCAGGGCCACAGTCACTGGTTCCTGGGGCCTCTCCTTTTTGACTCTGTCCACCAGAATCCACCAGGTGATGGGGACTGAGTGGAGCCTAGACAGGCTGAGCTCTGGGTTTGCCTGACGTGGTCTCTCCTTCCCTCCCTGTGCAGGCCATGTGCTATATGCCGACATCAAGATGGAGAACGGGAAGTCCAAGGGGTGTGGTGTGGTTAAGTTCGAGTCACCAGAGGTGGCTGAGAGAGCCTGCCGGATGATGAATGGCATGAAGCTCAGTGGCCGAGAGATTGACGTTCGAATCGATAGAAATGCTTAAGCAGTTGCCTTTTTTAAACATCGAAACCAGACCTCTGAATTTGTATTTTTTCTTGTTAACCATTTTAATTTGTTGGCTGGATGTATAAAGATGTTTAAAAAATTCAGTTGCTTTTTGGGGTAATTTGAATTACTTTTTTAATGACTGGGGTTCCATTTGACTGTTTGCATTGAGATTGCAATGTGCGCAATTTTTTTTGTAGTTGTGGCATCTTGTTGACATCGAATATGACTTTGATAATAAATACTGGTTCCTGAAAGCAGCCTGCTTGTGTGTGGTATGTGGGCAACCACCTGAAGTGTGGGGAGCCAGAGCCACTTGGGCTTCTAGTCTGAGGAGCAGGGATCTCCAGGAACCTCATCCCCACTCTTGCTTGTCTGAGGGTCCAGAGGTGAGTGCCTGCCCTCAGAAAGGGAGACTCTTCCTTGGAAACTGCCTTCCTGTGGGCTGTTATCCCTGGGCTGATAATGGGGCATTTGCTGTTCAGAGCTTCACAAGGCTTGGCATGGTGGCTCACGCCTGTCATCCCAGCACTTTGGGAGGCTGAGGTGGGCAGATCACCTGAGGTCAGGAGTTCTGAGATCAGCCAGGCCAACATGGTGAAACCCCATCTCTACTAAAAATGCAAATATTAGCCAGGTGTGTGTGTGGGGGGGTGTACCTGTAATCCCAGCTACTCGAGGCTGAGGCAGGAGCATCGCTTGTATCCAGGAGGCGGAGGTTGCAGTGAGCCAAGATCGCACCATTGCATTCCAGCCCAAGTGGCACAGTGAGACGCCATCAAAAAAAGCCTCCCAAGCCATCCAGTCTCCCTTTTGTGAGGTTAACTCCCTGTGGCACAGACCATGCTTGAATCAGGCTCTGCTTCAGTGTTTTTCCTGCTGAAACTGAACCGTGTGCCAGCTTCCATGCGTGTTCAATCCTGCCAGAGGCTCAGGCCAAATCCGATAACTGGGCTCTGCCAGAATTGGGCATAGGCCCCACCCCAGACTCTCATGAAGTACCCTCGGGATCCACCCAGGCCAAGCACACGTGTGCAGCAGGCGAGGCGGCCTTGCTGCTGCTGTTGTGGAAGGGCACGTCTTACCTGAGACCCTTCTGACCCTGGCTGGCAGCACGCGGGGTTCTAGTCACCGGGAGCCACCCTTGCTTGCCAGCTTCTTGCCACCCTTTGCTCTTTCCTCGCCTTCATCCCTGAGGGGTGAGACCATGGCAGGGTGACCCCAGACACACCCCCTTTTGTGTTTGGTCAGGGGGTTCCTGTGCCTTTACTCCACTGTGGCCAATTCGGGAGGAAAATAAAAGACAGGAAGCAAGGACTGTTTTAAACCAGGGCTTTATGGGGCTCAGCACAGCACAGGCAGCTCTGTGACTCTTCTGCGCCAGGATCCAGAGCTCCTGGGTGAATGACACAGCTGGCCGGCTGTCCTGGCTCCAGGCCTACAAGCCTTACCGTCCCAGTGGGAGTGGTAGGTTTTCCAGGGGGTCTGCCGAGGAAACGTAACTTCCATTGACCTCTCTACCCAGAAGCCCAATAGTAAGCAGCCCCCAGAGGAATCACCAGGGTCCCTCCAGCCCAACCAGTGTCTACATACCTAAGAAGTCGACATCATCGTACACCTCCGTCTCCCTGGCAAAGCATAGTTAAGTCAGCAAGGGGCACCATGCCTTATTTCCCGCACTTGCACCCCTACACACACAGTCAGGACCAGTACTCACAGAGGCAGGAGCGCTGTTCTGGGCACGTAGCCATCTGTGGAGAGAACGGGCAGGGTAGGTTCTCAGGCCCAGGGTGGCGGGGTGGCCTCCTGGGGCTGCGGGGCCAGGTACACTCACACTTGCCCTTGGGATCCCGGCACAGCATCTCATCCTTGCTCGTGAACTCGATCACCTCCAGGATCTCCCCGCGCCGAATCCCAAGGTGCTTGCCACCCCCGCGACGCGTCTTGGCATTGGGGTCGATCATCATCTTCGTGTGAACCACAATCTCCCCTTCAAACTGGGGCGCAAAACATTAGAGCCTCTGCTGGTGCTGCTGCCCTTAGGCCTTTGTCTTCTGAGTGTGGGATTTGTGGGGCCCTGGTCCCAGCCCTGCCAGGACTCCTGCTTAGCTCCGAGGCTCACCTTGAACTTCTTACGGAACTCCCTCTCAGCCTTCTCCGCCTTCCTCATCTGCTTCAGCAACTTTGGGTCCATGGGTGGCAACTGCTGTGGCTGGGGATCTTTCTCCTTTCTGATAACGCCCACCAAGGAATTGGGGTACTTGTGAGTAAGGTGTGCTCCTCTCAGGGTTCTTGGAGCTTGCCCCCCATCCCCCCCCCCCCCGCCCATGGCACCTGAGCACTGGGTCTTGCGGTGGCCTCCTGGCAGCTTGCTGAACCGAGGGCACTTCATCTGGGGATAGTCAGGACTCCAAGTCAAGGCAGGGCCTGCCCGCTCAGCCTCCACGCTGGTAGCTGTTTTTTGTTGGTTTTTTTTTGTTGTTGTTGTTTTTATTTTGTGACAGTCTCCTGTTGCCCAGGCAGGAGTGCAGTGGCGTGATCTCGGCTCATTGCAACCTCTGCCTCCTGGGTTCAAGCGATTCTCCTGCCTCAGCCTCCTGAGTAGCTGGGATTACAGGTACATGCCACCACACCCAGCTAATTTTTGTATTTTTAGTAGAGACGGGATTTGACCAGGTTGGCCAGGCTGCTTTTGAACTCCTGATCTGAAGTGATCCACCTGCCTTGGCCTCCCAAAGTGCTGGGATTACAGGTGTGAGCCACTGTGCCCAGCCACGATATTTTACTGTCAACTATCATTGCCCTACTGTGTAACAGAATACCCAATTTCTTCTTCCTAAGTTTAACTTTGTATCCATGGGCCAACCTCTCCTCATCCTCCCTTCTGCCTTATGCTTTCACCCAAATCTCATTACAGTAGAACCCTAGAACCCACGGGGCACAGTGGCTCACGCCTGTAATCCCAGCACTTTAGGAGCCTGAGGCAGGTGGATCATGAGGTCAGGAGTTTGAGACCAGCCTGGCCAACATGGTGAAACCCCATCTCTGCTAAAAATACAAAAAATTAGCCAGGTGTGGTGGTGCATGCCTGTAACTACAGCTACTTGGGAAGCTGAGGGAGGAGACTCGCTTGAACCTGGGAGGCAGAGGTTATGGTGACCCAAGATCGTGCTACTTCACTCCAGCCTGGGCAACAAGAACAAAACTCCATCTCAATAAAAAAAAAAAAAAAAAAAAAAAAAAAGGCTGAGCATGGTAACTCACGCCTGTAATCCCAGCACTTTGGGCGGCCAAGGAAGGCAGATCACCTGAGGTCAGGAGTTTGTGACCAGCCTAGCCAACATGAAGAAACCCCTTCTCTACTAAAAATACAAAAATTAGCCGGGTGTAGTGGTGCATGCCTGTAATCCCAGCTATTTGGAAGGCTGAGACAGGAGAATTGCTTCAACCTGCAAGGCGGAGGTTGCAGTGAACCAAAATCATGCCACTGCACCACAGCCTGGTAACAGAGCCAGACTCTGTCTCCAAAAAAAAATAATAATTAGCCGGTCATGGTGGCATGCACCTGTAATCCCAGCTACTCGGGAGGCTGAGGCAGAAAAATCACTTGAACCCAGGAGGCGGCAATTGTAGTGAGCCAAGATCATGCCACTGCACTCCAGCCTGGCCACAGAACGAGACGGTCTCACAGAACAAAACAAAATCAGGTAAGGTGATAGGTACCTGTAATCCCAGCTACTTGGGAGACTGAGGCAGGAGACTTGCTTGAACCCGAGAGGCAAAGGTTATGGTGAGCCAAGATCACGCCACTGCAGTCCAGCCTGGGTGACAGAGCCAGACTGTCTCAAAAAAAAAAAAAAAAAAAAAAAAAAATGCTGCTGGGGTAGGTGTTCTGGACTGGTGACTGATGATGAGACACTGGACTGAGGGGCCTCCCATGGTGCCAGCCTCCGTGTGCTACTCCCTGGCAAATGACCAGGCCCTCAAATCAGAGCCCTGCTGGCCAAGAGATTAGCTTCAGACGGGAGCCCCGGACACCCTGTGAGTGAAAGATCCAGAACCCAGTGTCTCAGTGGGTCCTTTCTGAATGGGTCAAAATGTCCCTCCAAGCAGCCCCAGGGACCAGCCTCTGGATTGTGCCTGCCATATACCAGGCCTGGCCATCCACAGTCACCCAGAACACGCAGCCCCTCCAACTGCTTCCGCCTCTCAGAGGCTTCCCCAGCCATGAGCAGTCTCTCCACCAGCAGCAAACCTGACCTCAGCACTCCAGGGCCCTGCAAACCCAGCACATCAGAGCACTTCTTGGCACTGCCATCCAGGCAGCCCTGGTTCATCTGCAGCTGACCCTGAGGAGGCCTCTGCCTGCCTTCCCTGCATGGCCTGCTCAGATCCTAGGAAAGGCTGGGCCCTCCCCACCTGCAGGGGAGCCTTCCAGGAACTTCTGGAGTGGAGCTGCCACTGCTCCAGGTAAGACAGACAGTGGGAGAGGAGAGCCCAGAGATCTGGCCCCTGGAGACCTAAGCTACCTTTGAGACGCTGCACCCGCAGTGAGAAGCCCATGCTACCCCTGAGAAGCAGGAGATCCCGGGAAGTGGGACGTTGCAGTGGAATCCTTTTTTTCACCCTTTTTTCTTGAGACAAGGTCTTGTTCTGTTGCCCAGGTTAGAGTACAGAGGCGCGATCTCAGCTCACTGCAGCCTCCATTACCAGGGTTCAAGTGATCCTCCCACCTCAGCCTCCTCAGCAGCTGGGACTACAGGCGTACACCACCACACCTGGCTGATTTTTTTTTGAGATGGAGTCTCACTCTATCACCTAGGCTGCAGTGCAATGGCGCGATCTTGACTCACTGCAAACTCCACCTCCAGGGTTCAAGTGATTCTCCTGCCTCAGCCTCCTAAGTGGCTGAGATTACAGGCATGCGCCACCACACCAGGCTAATTTTCCTATTTTTAATAGAGATGGGGTTTCAACATGTTGGACAGGCTGGTCTCGAACTCCTGACCTCATGATTCACCCGCCTCAGCCTCCCAAAGTGCTGGTATTACAGGCATGTGTCACTGTGCCCGGCTAATTTTTGTATTTTTAGTAGAGACGGGGTTTCACCTGGGTTGGCCAGGCTGGTCTTGAACTCCCAACGTCAAGTGATCTGCCTGCGTCCGGCCTCCCAAAGTGCTGAGATTACAGGCGTGAGCCACGGTGCCTGGCCCCCCCCTTTTTTTTTTTTTTTTTTAATATATCAGAATCTCGAATG